TTTGCAGTTACATTGGATATTCAGTATTATACCGTTGTGAATATTCAATATTGATAAAGGATCCCCTTCTCAACCTTTATCATCCCTAAGTAGACTGTCCGCATGCTGAATTGAGAATTGTTTTATGATGACATCCATAGCCTCAAGTTCCACCTGAAATTCCAGCTATGACCTCCTCTTGTCTCACAGATTTGGCTACAGGCTATAACTTAACTCTTAGAAGACCTAAAACAGCTAAATGCCGAACTCAACCGACCCAAGGAATGTGCGCACGATCCTAGAGCTGTATCTCGCACCAGCGCTGAAAATGATGATGAAACAAGTTGTCATCTGTTAATCATTTTTTTTTGTGCTGCACGGAGAGTTAAAAGGCTAATAGATTAATTAGTAAAACTTATTTTTTTTCTCATTCGCCCAGCTAGACAAGAGAAAATACATTCCCGCTATGAATTTTAGCTTCTTCACAGAAATGCAATTGCGTGCGCTATATTGCTGGAGTTTGTAATAAGAAGCCCGTGAAACTAATAGGACATTCTTGCGCGCCTCTAGTACAATGGCATAGACTTATAATTAACCCTATCATTACTAACTTCAAGTACACCTCAAAAGAAAAAAGAAACGGCCTATTCTTCTTAAATGGTACACGGCAGTTCACACTAGCAGGGGCAAGACAATCTTTGCAAAACAAAGAGAATATTATGAAATGTCGCAAGCGCTCAAACGAAATTTTAATGCATAACAGTTATCCGAAAAAGAAGAAAGAAATAAAGAGGCTGATAATGAGTAGGAACTACTCGGTAAATTAAGTCGGCTTTAAAAAAAAAGGGTCATAATAAATCATAAAGAAAATAGCGATGAACAGCAGATCATATATAATATACACTATTATTATACGTTGGTAAGAACATAGTTTTAAAAAATGTCTTTTTTTACTATTCCTAACAAACAAATACACGTAATTAGTGTACGTGTGTGTTTTATAGATTCACAGCAATGAGTAAATTAAATTAATGTAGCTGTGTTTTTCTAAATCGACACGCTTTTATTTAGCATGTTTACTTACCACCAAAGTCCGATTATGTTAACGGGGCAAAGCAAAATAAAAAACAAAGCAAGCTGTGTTCTGGAAAGAGGAAGCATCCTGAAGTGTAAATCTATAATTGGCACAAAAAAAAGGAAAATCCAAGCGCACTTGGGGTCGTTTTGATGTAGCGTCTTGTACAGCAGTGAGGACAAGCTGCAGCACCGCCGAAAAATGTGAGTAGTCCTTTGAAGCCAATCTCAGAGGCAAGACGGTGAATTCAGAAACTCTGTGCTCTTAGAGGAGAAATCAACGGCGGAGAACTTAAGCAGCATCTTCATGGTAGCACACTGGCAAACTCTTTAAAAACCGAAGACTATAAGGAACCGTACTCAAGGTGACAAGCACGTCCCAAGTCAAAACTCCCGAATTCCAAGAGCGCAGCGATTTCAATCTTGCAGCGGGGATCCAAGAGCCTGAGGGCGGATGGAAACAAGCCAGACCTCGGGCAGGAGTTACAGAAAAGTAAACCTAAGGAGCGAACAGACTCAGTGAAGAAACACAAGCATACGAGTATTTTATTATTGTTTTCCAGTTAAATGGGTAATATGTTTCCACGGATTTCGTACATTCCAACTTTTAAATTGAATGTCTTCTCGGGTTAACCGACGGCAGGTAGGCGAGAAGTGAAGCATTTTACTTAAAACCTAGAGGAGTGATGTCAGGGAGTCCTGTGTGCAGTAAAGTCGATTTTTTTCCAGCCTTCAAATGAGAAACTACTTTTTTTTTTCTTTTACAGAGAAATTTGCTCATCTCCCGCCCGACGTGACGTCGCTCCGGGCCAAAAAAAAAACCTTTACTGTCAGTCACAAAAGTTGAATAATTTCTAGATGAAACTGAATGACTCAGAATGCGCGCATTGGAGAAAAGGGGGAGAAAGAAAGGTATCTCAGACGTGCGTTGTTTACTGTAAAGAAATCGGAGCTCCCAGGAATGAAGTGATCTCATTTTCAGGTGTTTTACACGGACGATTCAGACAAGCAGATAATCGGCTCTTAAGTAGAGGCTAAATTGGAGCTGCAAACGGTTGCGAAACGGAGTGAAATTATTGGAGCTAACAGGAGAACGATTCTTACATTTCAGGGAAAGATAATGAACGAGAGCAGTTTAAAAATGTTCAGAAACGGTCAGTGGGAAAGACTCAATCTAAATATTATTTTTTTTTAAAAGCTGGTTTGATTTGCAGTAGTCTTTTTTAAAATATTGGCCCGTCTCTTGTGGTATGTCCATATAAAGTTGGTAAAACCAACTTTTTGGAAGTTGGTTTCCATTTTTTATTGCTCTTGGAATTCTTTTATTAAATTTGGAACCTTATTGATATCAAATGTACTGTATTATTTGGCTTTATTTTAATGTCGCAAGTGTGTTTAACGACGAACTCGTTGACTTATTTTAGCGTAAATCAAAGATTTAGTAAATTTCTTGAGCACAGGTGTACAAACAGGCTGCACCTGGAGTTCCACATGACTGCACATATCATATTCTGTTCAGTACGAGACCCAGGAACATTCTAATTTCTGTGCCAGTTCTGTTCAGACCACGAAACAGGACATGCGGTAAATAAATGCTTCAAAGATGATGATTTATGTAATACTCGGATCACCACTGTTATTTGTTTTCTAGACTACCAGCACTATGAAACACTCCTGTATGATTATCATTTTACCTAAATATGCGACTATTTCTCAGTTTGTACTGAAAATGATAGGTAGAACTAACAAAGGATCAGTGGGTACCGTATGTATAAAATAGGTTCAGCTCCATTTTGTGTTTCAAGTTTAGCTCATTCATTGCAGTCTGTCAGACTTTTCAAGGTGTGGACCTTAAACACCACTTCATTTCTACGCACACACAAATTTAAAATAAAACGTTATGAGATTTAAGAAATGTAGTATTAAAAATTTCAACTGAAATACACGTACTGTATGTCACAATCTTTGTAATGTCTTATCTACCACTGTATCTACAAACACACACATGCCTTCTACCTTCAGTATGGACACATAATGACCAGTTCAAGAAGTGGTTCCTACATTAAATATTTTGTGGTCCACCAGAGGTATGGGAACAGCGTGGTATCTGATTGACCCCAGCTGCAGCAGAAGCACGGAACAAAGCATGTTCTTGATCTGAAGCTCTTGCAGGAGTCTCTATTGCTTCTCAGCGCAAATAGTTGCTTAATGATGTCAGGGTGGTCTTGTATGAACTCAGCACAACTTAGAGGGGGTAACCAGAAAGATTCAGATTAGGCTTCCTTACATGTTGATTCATCCTCATGGTACTTTTGGTTGGTGTGAAGTAGTTTCTGAACCATTACACACCCCATATCTTACTGGTCTGTTACAGATACCAGGTGATGTCATGCAAATGTTTATATTGTGAAAGGGTTTGCAGTCTGTCACTGTCAATGTCTTTTCACTTTTGAGTTGTCAGTGAAAAGACCCTAATCTCCACTACTCTATGGTTCGAGCTACAATGAAACTAGAGGTTTTCTCCACTATTTCTGGGTGAAACAACAGGCAAGCAAACAAGCAGTTACCTGAATCAGAGTCCACGTCTCATGCTGCCATTTCCTGATTAGTCAGTGTTCAGCAGCCCTGCCCTGTAGCTTGTGAGGGTTCAGCAACAGACCAGGAGTTTGACAAAGCCTTAATGAGCTCATACAAATCAAAGCTGGTCGTGACCGATTGTCAGTAGCTTTGCAGTCAATGTCAATGAACACCTGCACTTTCTTGAAAATGTTCAGAGATCTCTAAGCACAAATGCCAAAGGCTTTGAGAATGGCCTGGCGCTAGAACTCCAATGCCTCTCCACATCGAATTAACAGTCAAGGTTCCTCTTTTAAATGTATTGGTGGTGAGCTTTTAAAAGAATACAGATACTTTTTTTAAAGTCCAAGTAAAATCTTACATCCGATGTTGTATGTTATTAAGGACACTAAGTACTTCACAGAGGTGAAATCCTAAACGTGCTGCCAAACTACACAACAAGTAAACATAGAACTCATATTAGGAATATAAATATTCAACTCATATAAAATATTAGGAAGGACAACTGTAGTTTATTTGCACATTTTTAATATATGTACATTGTTTGAAATTCTCAGTTAAGTTCAGATGATGGCAAGTAATTTGAAACAGCAATTAATATTGACTTTGTGTAATTGATAACACTTAACATTAGCTGCAAGCTATACAACTACAATATATCCACAAGACACAGACAGGTCACCTTGGCTTTAAAGTAGATACAGAGTTCGTAATTAAACAGAAATTTAAAACCTGTGCTCTTTTGTAGCCTCAAAAATATTTTTGCATTCCACTATAATAAAGAAAATGAAATCACTCCTACAGTAGCATGAGAAAGCAGATAGCTAATGTCACCAATGCTCATTCTCAACATATTTTTTAGTCTGTCTTCTTTGATACCTCAAACAGAAAGGAGATCAGATGATCCATTTATCTCCTATCACAAGAAGAGGCCTCTTTGATTTTCCCTCTTTGTTTTTCCTAAAACTTCAAAGGGAAAATATGGAACAGTTTTGTCTGAGCTGCAGGTGCATTGCGGTAGTAATACTCCAATTTATCAACTTTACATGAAAGAGATGATAACTCCCTTCTTGTCTCAGTGATATTTTATGTGCTTATAACAGTAATCAAGTAATCCTCAGAGACAGTATCATGTGACTTAAATACTGTAACTTCTAAATCAATTAGCAGTGAAAGACTACAATTCTAGAGGAACCCGTATGGTTTTATTAGACACAAGGATTTATGGTTCACTAAATTACCTTAACTGTGAATCACTGAGCTCATCCTCTAAGAACATCAATATGTGTTCGCGCTCAGAAGTTTCTTAGTGATTCAGTCGCCTAAATGAGTAACAATAAGAATGATGGCAAAATCAAGAAAGGCAGATGCAACTTTTCAAACATTGAAGACATAAAATTAAGGTGAAGCCCACATTATTTCTGCACTGATAATTTGTAGAAATCTCTCGTATAAAAAAAGTGTTTACAAAGGAAGGATATATTATATACAAAAGACAAGCATAATTAGGAATAGTTGCTTTATACTGATTTTTGTACAAAATCAAAATGTTCAAAGAAACACCTTTTCCCATGACAATAGCATTTCTGAATAATTGAAAAATTTCCCAGTTTGTTGCAATTCCATTCCTTAACTCACTAAAACTCACTAGGAACAAGCAGACTAACAAACTCTCTCGGGGACAACAAAATGAGTACGATGGATTAGATGAGGCAGGAGAAAATGGAGGAGGTGTTCATGACGTGAGTTGTTTGTGTAAACCATAAAAAAATATTTAGATGACATACATGGTTTAGTAACTGAAATCCGTTTAAGTAAAATAAAGCAAATTGAACATTACTGACCGCATGTTAAACGTTTCGTCCTTATTGTAAATGGTTTATAAGTACTCTCTCATATTCCAGAAGAAAATGTTTATCCTAGTTGTACAGATATATGCAATGCTTTCTTATACTGGTTATGTAAGCTGTTGATAGCTGTTGATATCGCTGGTGGATAACTGAAGACCTTTGAAAGGACCTGAGCGCCAGAAAGCTAATGGTACTGTACATGCATGTGTCTCTGTGTGTGTGTTGTTAGGGAGGAGTGATTTTTCATTCTTGGCTTAAACTTTATGGACAATAAAGATCCCATTTCAAAGTACAGCAGGGTGTTAGGCCTGGGGTCCTGGCAAACCATTCTTGGGAACAGCCTTTGTGGATAATAGCATATGTCTTTGAGTCAGTACTTCGGGTTCTCATTCAGAAGGCAGTTACATTCTTGACATCTCAACTTCACTTGGGTGACCAAATAGATATTGTTTCTTACATTATTACATTATCATACAAAAACACACACACACACACACACACACACACGCTCTAACTCTTATTTTCCGATTTGCCTGGCGGCTTACTTTGTTCCTCTGTGATGTCCCCCTTTCCATTACTTTTGCTCTCTCTGTTTCGCCGATTTTGAATTTCAGATTTTTCATCAGCAGCCAGGATGCAGATAAAGCCCCTGCAGATTATCATCCTAACTGATTAGAAATCCTGTTACACTTAATATTTTTTTAATGTGAAGTTAAAATTCACGCCAAATCAAAAACATATGATGGTTATGTTCTGTAACCATTTTTAAAACAAACCACAGTCATTTCTGGAATCTGTATGGAAGTCAACTTCATGGAATTCCTTAATAACTGGCAGTGGACCTATGTTATAAAATCTTGATGTTGCCATAAAGCTTCTGAACTCTGTAAATAATGACAAATGTGTTCACAGAAGATGTATAACAAGAATTGAAGTTAGATCTGACAATAATAAATGTATATGATCTGGGTTAAGTATTCAAAGTGGACATGCCTAATTCATCATTCTTATTTCTGTAAGTATGGAGAGAAACGCTTGCAGAAAATATCTTATGCTGTGTTTTTCAAATGTATACCAATGTTTTAAGCATGTTGGTGCTGACACTAAAGAATTAGTGGTATTTCTTCATGGTTTTGTAACTTGTTTTGCCCTCTGTAGAAAATGTATTTGACCTTTGACTTTTAAGAGTATCCAGAGGGAAATTGCATGCATCCTCAACATTGATCACAAGCAGATTACATGCCTTTGACCATAAAACGTGTTAAGGTTTACTGATTATGAGGTCATCTCTTAACCTTCAAATATCTGACACAAAAATAGGT